ATGCCTTGTGCTCATTTGTGGCTGCCCTCCATGAGAGTGCTGAAGCACCAAAGTCTTTCTATTGAATCTGAGCAGAGTAATTCCTCATGCAGGACTCTTAGGGTTTTGTGTATGTGCTCCACCAGAAACTTGATGTCTAGAAGCTGTAAGGAGGAGGGAAAAATTAGGTTGGATGTCAGAAGCAAGTTCTTTACTATGAGAGTGATGAGGTGGTGGAACAGGCTGCCCAGGGAGGCTGTGGATACCATGTCCCTGGAGGTGTTCAAGGCCAGGTTGGATGGGGCCCTGGGCAGGCTGGTCTAGTATTAAATGGGGAGGTTGGGGCTTTGCCTGTGGCAGGGGAGTTGGAGCTTCATGATCACTGAGATCCCTTCTAACGTGGGCCATTCTGTGATTTGTGTAGCTGAGTGGGATTTCTGGATCTTGGTGCAAGTCTCGAGATTGCATATAAAATGCTTAGATTAATGTCTAGAGTTTGAGTGTAATGTATGTTTATTTGTTTGAAGTAGCTTGAACTTGCAGCAGGAGTGCATGATGCTGCGTATAGAATCAGTTCTCTGCAAATAAGCTCATCTGTGTATTAGGATGAAATGAATAGTTTTGTCTGTATCTGATTGCTAATTGAGATATTATTCACGTTTCTTAGAAAAACAAAGCTGTTTTTCTACAAAGAGTCCTCTAAGGTTCATCTTTTTTAACTGTTTCAAAAGTCTAGAGGACTGAGCTGAAAGGAGTGCTTACGTCTTCCAAGGTGAGAGCTGAAATTGTACAGGTTCATGACACCCACTTGTGCTTGGTACAAGCATCTCTGCAGCTATGTATAAGAGCTATCAAAACAGTTTAGATAGGAAAGATTTTCTTTCATGATAACTTTTTGCACTTGTTGCATCCCATGTCCTTTTTCTTCTCCAGCCTTTATATTTGCACAGTCTGGACCAGAATGATGCCTTTTCTACCGAAGAAATAATTGTTGTTCCCGTACACTCTGCAAACTGCATTGCAGAGAACGTGAAGCACCCAGCCAGACTGATGCTAGCCATACCTGGGCAGGCACACGTACCTGCACATGGACCTGCCCCATGTGGCCTCCTGGCCTATAGCAGCAGCTCTGCATTACTTGCTGTCTTCACACCCCTTGCTCACGGTTCAGCTGCAACCTACATTTGAAGTGAGGTGGTGGTGTGGAGTAGTTGAACCGTGCCAGTGACGTGTTGGTGTCAGAGAGATTTCTGCTCCTCCTTCCCATTCCAGACCTGACGTGTGCTTGGAGCCAGGTCTGGTTGCTTGCCTTACCCACTGTCTCTCTGGATTAGAAGAAAAGCAACCCATCAAAAAAAAAAAGTGAATTGTTTTATGTTAGTTTATCAAGCTGAAGAAGCTCAGTGGAGGATGAGGTGAGCAGCCATGCCTGACGGGAAGCAGGTGGGGCTGTGTGGCAGGAAATTACAGGGGCAGCTGACTCCTCACTCTCAATAGAAGCTGCTGTCTGTGGTTAATTTTCTCGTAATGCCCATGTTTTTACAAATATCGTAACAGAGGAAACCAGATAAGGAGAGAGAGATTACTAGGACTCCCAAGAAGGAACAGTTCGGAGCTCATGCTTTGTTTGATATCCGAGAGCTCAAACAAAAGTGTAGTCATTGAGTCTGATGTTCTTTTTACTATCTGCTTCTAATTGTATTCTGGCAATTTTCAGATCAAAAGGTAATTTAAAACTAAGTTACAGCACTGTGTTTCAAACGCATGGGACAGAATGTTTGGACTCAACATTTGACCCGAACTGAGGATTGCTTGGCCTGCTTGATGTTTAGAAAGTTAACTGTTAACCAGGGTGTGCGCTTTGATTCAGTTTTTACTTCTTTTCCAGGTTTAAATAGCGATCATTCAGATTCTTGTTTATCTTCTACATGCAATTTGCTAGTATTTTCCTAGAGAAGTTCTCCTAACACGGTCTCCTGTTTGAATAGCAATTATAGTCACAGTTAGAAGAAAAAAATCATTCTGTATATCCTCTCAATATGTTGCATCATTCCTCCCAGCACTGCCTTTACGTTCTTTTGTCCTGGCTCTGTGTTTACCAGCATACCAGCTGTTAGTGCTCTGCTCTAACAGAGCGGTCCAGGATTGGGCTGGGGAGCTCTAGCACTTTGATTTCCGTTACAGAATGCTCTGCTGCAGTGCTATCAGTGTGTTTGCTTGCTCTCACCTCCGGCCCTGACAAAAACGTTGTGTGTGTCGCAGCTCATGTCCCTTAAAGCTAAGCCTATTGCAGTGAACTAAGGTAGAAGAAAGGTCTGGAAGCTGAATGTCAGCATATCTGGGACACTGGGGCAAATACAGATGCTTAGTATGATGTGCTCTTCTTCAAGTCTCACATAGCTTTCTGGTGAAGTACAGTAATATTAAGTATGCTGTCTTAGGATTTTTCATGAGGAACTGTAGTGGCTGTCTGATTTCACAAATGCTGTTGTTAAGACTGGGTATTAATCCTCACTGGTTCTTACCAGGTGGTTTAGCAGGTGGTGTGGGTCACATGTATTTCGCGCTGTTTTGTCTCTGCAGTTTGCTGAAGTGTAAGCACAGTGGTTTTAGTACCGTTAAGCTGGTGTGAGCTGTGTGTGGATCAGCTCAAACACAAATTCTGAAATTATGGTAAGAGCAGCCGCTAGCTAAAGGGTTTGTAGTGTAGCTCTGTATAACTGAGGCATATGTTTTTCTGGTGATGAGATGAAGACATTCTCTTCTTAAGGATGCTTTCTACAGGGTTGCATACAAGGGCCGTGCTCAGGACGAGTGTGTCAGAAGATGCTATGCTTAAGAAGTTGCCTAGGCTGAGCAGATTATAACTCCGTGCATCTTTTGTTTGGATGTGTGTGTGCCACCCATTGCTTTACAATCGTACAAAACTTTCTGAGTGTGATCCCATGCTTACCGTTAACAGCCATCAGTTGGTGACAAAAATGCCTAGTGCTGCAATATTCAAGTGTTTGCACCATTTTTTTAACAATATTGTGAGATTATTTAAGGAAAAAAAAAAGCTTCAGTGCTTTGAAAGTAAGGTAAAGATTATTTTTGTTCTAAAGCAGACTCTTGTCCCTCCCCACTCCAGTTTCTTTTTAGATTTCTTTATAATTCCCTCTCATGGGCTATACATAAGCGTTTGATGGGCTGTTTGCTTTATTCACTTGCTCCCTCAGTTAAGGGATCTGCAGGAAAGGTTGAAAGACAGCCATATTAAAAAGGAGTCTGACTGTGGAAAACGTAAAGTAATTATAATCTGGGGCCAATTAAACATGAGGCTACAGTAGGTGATCATGAGAGATGTGTGACAGCTCTTCAGTCACTGGTTTACAAGTTAAGGGCGTCAGGTTGCAGCTGTGTGCCTCCTAAGGGCAGTGAGATCTGATTAGGTTGTTTGCTTTGTAGATCTCCAAAGGCTTTAGAGTATCTTTCAGGAACACATCCACAGACTGATGCTTATCCCAAGTGATTTGCCAAATTAGTTCCTAAGGAGACAGATATACAGCTGAGTCTTCTATATGATCTGTAACATCCCTTCCTACCCAAGCCGTTCTATGATATGGGAAATAATGCTGAAATTATGTTAGGATAGTATGGATTATTTGTTTATCCTTACAAAGAAACCCGGCAACATTCTTAGATTATTAGAGGCTATTGTTTTGCAGTAGGAAGAAAAGTAGTTATTGCAGGTCTGCAGATTCTCTATTCCAATTTATGCAATCCACAACAAGAGATCAAGGATTTGTAATTGAAAACTTACTCCAACATACATGTGTTCTGTTTTATGGTGAGTTTCCATTCTGTGACTCAGGGTCACACAGAACAACAACATAAAAGCATTTGACCGTGTTAAGATGTGGCAACAGGCTGAGAGAACTGACTGCAGTTAACTTTCATTTCTGTACTGACAAGAGACTTCATAAATACGAGTGAAGTGACTTCCACTTTGCTTTGTACCAGAAAATACGTGTGTCATTTTCAATACGTTCCTGCTCCTGTATGTTGTCTGCAGTATGGGTTGTGTGTTTACAGGTCTACAGGTTATGAAATTTATTGAAAATAGCTGGTGACTCCAAAAATAGAGATTGGAAATTATCCGTGGGCTGGTAATGCACAATGGCGGTACAGTAAAAGTAATCACAAAAACACGTGTAGGTGTGTCTTGTTTCCAGAAGATGCTGATATCTGTGTTTTTGTTTTGTTCCTTAGTGAGATAGAAGATGAACTCAGCTGAAATCACTGATGACGATGAAGGTAAAAAATCATACATTGTGTAATTTCTGCTCAGGCAAAAATACTTGTTGAAATGAAGCTTTGTAATCTGATAAAGAACGCGCTTGGATCAGGACAAACTACATTAACAGTTTCTGAAAAGCTATCTAAAATGCACCATTGTCTTTGTTATTCATTGTATTTTCTGCTCTGCATCCTTCCTTCCCCTCCAGAAAAATCTTCCTACTGTAACTTTGTTTATGCTTTAAAACTCTTCTTCGGGGAAGAAACTGTCATTTACTGGATGACTGTATGGTTCCTAGCATAATAAAGCCTTGACTTTGGGGTGGCCTCAGCATACACTTATTGTGCAAGTCATAAAAAAAAAATAAAAAAAAAAAATTATGATGTTCTTCAAAACACATTTTCATAAAAAGAAACAAAACACGAAAGATTGTATTAAGGCTGTCATGGTTTTCCGGAGAGAGTGCTTTATCTTTCTAAACCTTCTCTTTTTCCAGTAAAAATTCCTAAAAAAAATATTGTGAAAGTAGAAACAGAAAATGAAGATGAAGCTCTAGACTGCTCGGTAACATCCAGATCTTCTGAGAAACACTCAGTGGATGGCGCAGTTACTTGCCTACAGGATTCCAACAAACGGAAACAGACCTCACTTGGTTGTGATGGTTCAGGGAGCCAGCAAGATGTCTTACCCAGTGTGAAGAAAAGACGCTTTACACAAGAGGTGACTTCTCTATACGTGACTGTGTGATTTTTCTGTTCATATTTTATAGGCTAAATTCAGTGCTGTCATAAGCAAAAATGCAAGTCATTTAATAAGATTTGCATTAGTAATGAGTTGGAGTCAAATATGGCTTCTCTTGACCCAGTTTGCACACAAAATTTGTCTGGGCATTTCTTTAACTTGGGAGCAATTGTATCAATGACATACACTTATAGGTTAATTCATTCATTTGAAGTATACTTTTGTTTTTCAGAGAACGTAGGAGCAGGTAGGGGTTTGGCATAACTCGGTATGACTGTGATTACAGCCTCTCTCACGTCACACAGTCCTTCAGCCGGATCCTCAGTGGCAGTAGCACCAGGGCTGTAATTCTCATCCTTCCATGACACAGATTTTGATGTCAGTGTGACATGTATAAATTTGCATATTACTCAAAAAAGAAAAACGCGGGGATGCAGAACCCTGCAGCACACCTGGAATGGCATGTATTGCGACTTCTGCAGCATCCCAGTTGTGGCAATCCATACATTTGTCCAGCCAGTGAAGGAGGTTCCAGATCTCTTCAGTTATCCCCTTCTAGTGTTTCTCCTCCCTAATAACCAGAGGTGTTTTCATTAATCTTTGCTGAAACTGCACAGGTTTCTCTTTGCCCTTGTTCTTCGCAGTGGGGAGAGCGGTGACCTTCTGTTCCTTTAAAAAAAAAATAAAAAAAATTATAGTGCCATCCATGCTTGGCCCTTCTTTTCCTAGTACTGAAATTCTATTTCCTCAGCTCCTCTCCAGGAGTCCCCTTATGTTTTTGTTGTTGTCTTTGAGATTCCCAGAAGAGTCGTGTTCAGTGTTGGATTGTCACATCTCTCCTAACGCCCTCCAGAGCGCTATAATGACCTCCTGTTTTTCCACACTCAGCACTTCTTTAAAATAACCTAGATTCAAATTCAACCTCTTTCGAATAACTTCAATCCTGGGGTTATATTTAGTTTATGACCTACTCTAATGCACATATCCTTTTCTGCTGTTCTGCCACTTAGCCAGTTATCCCGAGTTGCATTTGTGCATTTCGTTTCTCCTTTCTAGCTGTGGCTCTTCGTATTTGTTTTTCATGCCTGTCATCTCTCTGACTTCTCAGAGCTCTGTCTCTGTTTTTTCTCCCGAGTGCCTGTGGTAGGTAGGTTTTAATCTTATAACACTGTTTCTTTCTTTTTTTCCCTTTCTCTTCTACTTTTTACAATTATTTTACTTACATTCAAAATCTTAAAAGAACTACTTTCTGGTCTCTGAAGTGTGCTTTCTTTGTGTTTTGCTGGTTGCTTTTAATGCATTTTAAAAATTTATTTGAAATGAATTAACCTTGAATTTATTATGTCAGAAAGTGACCCAGTTACAACGATGAAAACTCGCTCTCAGCTGACCCCAGTGAATCAGCATGTTTAGTTAAATAACCAACCAAAGCCAGTCCTCAATCCTAACAACATTTTTAAAGTGTACTGCTTTTCTAGTGCAAATATTTTGTTTTAGTTGATGACTTCATTAACTATTTCTGCTTAAACAGAGAACAAAATATTTTTTCAGAGTATTGTGGTTGTGTTGTTTCACATAGACATCTATCTATAATACAATTAGAGCTGTACTTTTTCTTCTACATAATTGTACTCTCAGGCTGGTGTTGATATTACTCAGTGACTTCCTGTCAGAAGACATTTCACTTTAAAAAAAATTATTCTGATTTAAGCCAGAAATCAATGTTTTTCTACATTCCATAAAAATAATTTTAGAGAAATCTCATGTAGGAGAATGTAAATTTTAAGAATTTCCATGCAAGACGTTTCCAAGCTGAAGTATTTGATGGAATTGTTTTCTGTGTTTCTTGCTTAGACATATTTATTATTCATATGCTAAAATGTTTTGTTCTTTATTCTTATGGGCATTGAGATTTTGTGTATAAAGCATGATAAAGCTCATAAATTACCTGGGCTTTAACACTGAGGAGAGCAATAACTAAACAACTTTTAAAGATCGGTTAGGACACTGAGAGGTAATGTGGAAGATTATTTCACAGTCAGTTGTGTTGGTCAGTGTTCACCAAAATGCTGCATTTTGGACATCTTCAAAGAACATATAGAGTCCAACAACTTGCTATGCAAATATAACATAAAAAGCAGCACTAGATTATGTATACTTAATCTTACAGAAACTTTCCTTTGCTTGTATTATAGATAGTGCATTAAAATTGTTCATCCTAAATCAGAGTAGCATTTTCTGAAATAAGCTAATTGCCACTAAAGATTTTTCTTTAAAAATTACAGAAATATAGTTAAAAATATATTAAATACTAACTTAATTGGAGAATGTACCCAAAGCCCTGTGTTTATGCTGTGAGTAGTGCTGTTTCCAGCTGTAACCTGTATTAAAAACAAAGCAAAGCAAAAGGGAAAGATGACAAGAAAACTTCTGACATGGAGAGTGCTGAGGCATGGGCCCCAACTTGTTGTCATCCATTAGTCGAACGCTGAGTATATTTCTCTACAAGGCAGATGCCCAGGTCCCTGTGGCAGTGCTGAGCTGTTGGTGGCGGGGCCCAGCCCTGCTCCTGCACGACCACTGCCTTCCCCCAGCACGCTGCATCCAGGCCTGAGGGTGCAATACTGAAGGCAGTGAGTCTGTGCTGCTGGGTACGCAGCCAAATCATGCTTTGTCCCAGCACTGCACGTGAGGTGCGCACTGATCGGAGGAACCCTCACATTGCCAAGTTTTGTTGTATAATTTAACAGGGAAAGAACGGCAGGAGCTCTTGAGGAGAACTAGCAGACTGTTGGTGACCTAGGCAAGCTATTTGGTAAAGAAGGAGCTGAATGAATCATACTCTGTGTGTGAGGGAATATTTGGGATACTCTCTGGGAACAGGGGTGTTATCCAAAAGGTATCTTGCTACTTGGGTAGCAGATTTCGCATTGTATGAAAAAAAAAAAAAAAAAAATTATACATTCACATCCAGGCTGGATGTGGCTCTGGGCAGCCTGGTCTAGTGGCTCGTGACCCTGCCTATGGCAAAGGGGATTGAAGCTAGATGATCTTTACAGTCCTTTTCAACGCAGGCCATTCTATGATTCTGTGATTCTCCAGAATTGCAGCTTTGTTTTCTCCTTTGGTCTGAAATGGTAAAAAGAAGGTTGTTGTTTTTTTTTTTTTTTAGCTCAGACTGGGGGCTCACTGGGAGACAGAGGTACCCATAGGTCTGTGTTGTCCGGGAGGATTGCCCTGACCTGCCACCAGGTGATGTCTGCTTGGAAAGCTAAACCATCAGCTGGAAGTGCCTCTGTTCCTCCACTGACAAGTACAGGGCATCTGTGCTAACCACAGCCCCATTGCAGGAGCTGGCCGTGGGCTGGGAGCAGTTTGGGTGGCAGTCTGTCTGCAGATCAGCCTCTGGTGCTTCAGTGTGTTACAAGTCATGGAGATGCTGATGTAGGTGGGGTGTGTCGTACCACGTGCTGGTGGTGGTCTGCAGCTCTGGCTTCCTGCTACACCACAGCAAATGGGATTGGAGGTACAGTCTTCTAAATGGAACCTGAGAGTCAGCTGTCCTAAGCACCACCACTGCTATGGATTCTTTGGACTTTTACATTATGCTTTCATTTATCGTCTGTCCATCCACACAGCCTTGAACGTATGCACAGGTTTTCATGTGTAGGGCTGCGTGATGTGAATGAGAGCAGAAACAACTCCAATTTCATTGGGTCTGCTGGTTCCTAAACTTGGAGTAGAAAACAGCTTGTTCTGTTTAAGCATGCACTGACTGCTTTAGAAATTGAAAAGTAATTAGATTCAGTTTGTCACTAAAATAGGCAGATGCCAAGTAGGAGGACACCTAGGGACCAGATTAATTTAATGACTGTTACTGTTCTGCTTTTCAGAAAGGAACCTTAATTCTAGCTCCTCATTGCAGAATGCGCTGGAGTCTTTGCTAGCATTTCAAATTGCTTATGGTTCTCAGCTCAGACCTGAAGTCTGCGTTCCATCTGTTATAATCCTTGAATGCAAATTCTGTATTTTTTTTTTAATGAAATTGATCTATTGTGGAACAAGCCATGCCAAAATGTTTAAGTACAGTCTTTTCTAAAATCTGTGAGTGTTTTCTCACGTTTGGAATCTGTATGTTGAATTTTGATTTTGTCGTATCTACTTAACTTTATAAGAATTATCTGCAATATCCATGTGTTTGCAAAAAAAAAAAAAGTCAACCAAAAAAAAACCCCCAAACCAGAACAATCCTCAAGCCCTATTTAGTTACTATGAGCAGCTGAAAGTATTTGCTTCAGATTTCAAAGAAGGAGGAAGAGATTGAGATGATCAAGAGCAGGAATTTCTTTAGAGTTCGTTGCTGTATTTTTTGCTGTATAGATTATTTAGACAACTGGGAATTAAACTTCTCTGCCCTTCAGAAATAAAATTGCCTTTTAAAAATTGCAATGTCAAGATAATTTTCACATGAAGAAAAAAGTTTTATTATTTACATTAAAGAATGTTTAATATTTTACTCATTCTTAGAATTTTTTTAAGATTTGTGCACCACTCTAAAGATAAAAAAAAATAAAGTGAAACAACTTCATAAACCTCTGATATGAGCAAGAAAAGAATGAGAGTTTTAGTTACAGCCTTCATGGCATTTTCAAAAGCTAACATAAGGAGAGCACTAAGAATGTTAAATGCAGGTGGTGGAAGCAGTGGCAAGGTCACAGGACGAAGAGTCAGAAAATCTAACTTCTATTCTTGGCTCTCCTGCTGACTTGTTGCCACCCGAGTTCTCTGCAGCTCGAGATCCTCGTACACATAAGCATAATGATACTTAATTTGGGAGAGTATTTAGAACTCGGTGGGAAAAGAGTGCTAAGGATTACAATTTAATTTCTAGCCTGTGGAGAAAGCCATGAGCCAAGACAAAATAATAATAATAATAAAACAAAACCAGTACTTTCCTGTATTTTTGTTGTTTTATCTTACTAATGGATTTATTAATTTGATGTATGTAACACGACTGAATCTTCTAGAGACAGTTTGACCTTGAACTTTTATGTAACAATGCCTGCTTAAGGGGGAAACATCTATAACTGATATTTTTAAAGCAGTCTTACTAATACAATATTTATTCATTCAAAGGGCTCCAATTCAAACATGAAGAACAGAGATACTGGCTCACCCACTCAGGTAAATGCAGAGCAGCCAAGCAAGAACAAGAATCCTAATATAACGTGGCTCTGTGAGGAAGAACCCTTCAGCGACATAACCACTTCATCTTACAAGAAACCCCTGTATGGCATCTCACACAAAATCACAGAGAAGAAGAATGCACCGGGAGCAGAGCAGTTTGCCTCTTATGACTTGTATGAAAAAATCAGCCCCAGCAGTCCCTCGCATCTTCGGACTTTGAATGACCAGCGCAAAAGGGACTCTGCTGCAGCCCTCGCTGCAGCGGCTGTTGCTGTCGAGTCTGACCCAAATATATATTCTTTGATACAGAAAATGTTCTTCACACTTAACACTCTCAGTTCCAATATGACCCAGCTTCACAATAAGGTTGACCTTCTGTCTCTGGAGGTGAGCAGAATCAAAAAGCAAGTCAGTCCAGTGGAGTGTGTGGCAGATTTCAAGCCTCCCCCTGAGTACACGCTGACTTCTGCTGAGCTCAAACAACTCATGGATCAAAGCACATCAGGTGGAGACCTTGCCTGTCGCTTACTGGTACAACTCTTCCCAGAGCTCTTCAGCGACGATGAGTTCAACAGGAGCTGCAGTGCCTGTGGCTTTCCTAACAAGAGGAAGCTGGAGTCTCTCCATCTGCAGCTTATCCGTAGCTATGTGGAAGTCTGTTATCCTTCTGTGAAGAGTACAGCTGTGTGGCAGGTGGAGTGTTTGCCTCAACTGAATGATTTTTTCAATAGATTTTGGGCTCAAAGGGAATTGGAAAATAACCCACAGAATGTGCAGTCCTCCAGTTTTTACGAGACTGAACAGGTGGATTCCTCTCATTTTCTTGAGGATAAAGAGCAAGAAGAAGCTTTGTCCTTGGACAGGAGTAATGCCATTGCCTCAGACTACATTCTAGATGCTCAGGATCTCAATGAATTTTTAGATGAAGCTTCTTCTCCGGGGGAATTTTGTGTTTTTTTGTTACATAGACTGTTTCCAGAACTCTTTGACCACAGAAAATTAGCCGAAAGGTACAGCTGCTATGGGGACTCTGGGAAGCAACTGCTGGATCCTCATCGGCTTCAGATAATCCGTAGGTACACTGAAATTTACTTTCCAGATGTACAAGAAGAGGAAGCTTGGTTGCAGCAATGCGTTCAGCGAATAAATGAAGAACTTGAAAATGTATATATGGATGGAAGTGAATGTGATCAGCTGAGAGATGACTGTTACGACTCTTCCAGTTTACCGGATGACGTATCAATCATAAAAGTGGAAGACAGCTTTGAATATGAAAAACCAGGTAGACGCTCAAAAAAAATATGGCTTGTGCCCATTGACTTTGACAAACTTGACTTTCCCCCTCCTGATTTTGATGTCCCTGTTCCCGATTACCTATTGAACAAAGAACAGATTAAAAACATCTACGAAAGCAGTCTTTCCATAGGCAACTTTGCTTCTCGGCTGCTTGTTCTCTTGTTTCCCGAGCTGTTTACTCATGAAAACTTACGGAAGCAATACAACTGTAGTGGGTCTTTGGGGAAGAAGCAGCTTGATCCCACTAGAATTAAATTAATTCGGCATTACGTGCAGATACTGTACCCAAGGGCAAAGAATGACAGAGTGTGGATGTTGGAGTTTGTTGGGAAGCTCGATGAGAGGTGTCGGCGAAGGGACACAGAGCAACGGCGCTCGTACCAGCAGCAGCGGAAGGTCCACATGCCAGGGCCCGAGAGGAGGGAGTTCCTCAGCTATGCAATAAACCCCGAAAGGTTTCGAGAGGAGTTTGAAGGGCCGCCACTGCCACCCGAAAGGAGCAGCAAGGATTTTTGCAAGATACCACTTGATGAACTCGTTATTCCTAACCCAGACTTCCCTGTGCCTTCTCCGTATTTGCTGACTGATAAGGAGGTAAGAGAGATCGTACAGCAGAGCCTTTCTGTTGGAAACTTCGCCGCCAGGCTTCTCGTAAGACTCTTCCCAGAACTCTTTACTCCCGAAAATCTCAGACTGCAATACAACCATTCAGGTGCTTGTAACAAAAAACAGCTGGACCCTATCAGACTGAGACTGATCCGCCATTACGTGGAAGCAGTTTACCCCGTGGAGAAAATGGAAGAAGTATGGCATTATGAATGTATACCGAGCATTGATGAAAGATGCCGGCGTCCTAACAGAAAAAAGTGTGACATACTGAAAAAAGCAAAGAAAGCAAAGAAGTGAGGGGCTCTTTGAATTCCGAAGACTTTGACCACTAAATTATTGTCAGGATTATGCTTTGTTTTAGGCTGAAGGGCCTGTCAGGCTGGGGCTGCTCAGCATCCGGGAGAACTAGGCACTAAGTTTGTTGCATTTTAACGTGTGTGTTGCATCTATGTGGGTACTGCAGCAGTGGGAAGTGGCTTACTAGGTTTGTACATGGGTAAAGATCCTATGTCGTTGGTGACAGAGCTCATAATGACTCATTAAGAGCATGGCTTTCACTGGTGCAAGTACATGTATTGAAACTCTACTATGCCATTCCCCATTTCTGCTTCCCCCTTTTTTAACACTTTTTAATAATAAAGTTGTTTTTTTTTTAAATGTGGTGTTCGTCAGGGGCAGTATTTCATTTCACCCTTATACGCAATTATGTTGGTTCATTTGGAGTTTGAAATTTAAACTTCATCGAAATCTACAAAACTAATGCTTTTTGAAAGTGCCATATTCATTGAAATCACTGGAATGTCTGACTTTGCTTCTAAGTAAATCACAGCTTTAATGTGTTTTGTTCTTATTGATACTGAGATACTGAAAATAGTAATGCCACGTCCAAGAATGGATCAGAGCGGTGTGATTTCCGTTTTTGACTGTTACTCATGTTGTGTTTCTAAAAATTCTAAGAATTGAAGTATTGAAGAGTTGAGACGTGAGCATAGACACAGTGTGAATGTTTCTTTACGTTGGCACCCCAAGCTTGATCATGCCCCTGTGAGTTTTCTTTTTTGCTCAGTGTCGCGGTTCGCGTGACTGAAGGTAGCTTGTGAGAGCAGAGCCAGCAGCACAGACCCAAGCCATCACCTGTGGAATGTATTGCCACTGCCTGCCTGCCTGCTTGCCTCTCTGTAAAACAAGAGTAACTAGATAAGCAACAAGGACTTTAAAAACTTTTAGATCTTACTGTATCAAAATGACGATTCCAAAGGTTTCCAGTATTAAGATCAAATTGCATAAATCAAAGGTACCTGCAAAGATTAGTTTTGGGATGGAATGAAGTGCTACAGGGTCCCCATGAATGAGCTGTTTGCATCATTCTTTGCATCAGCGTGGCACCGTCTGGATTTTTCAGATGTAGGGATATTGAGCTCGCTCACTTAGCCAAACTGATTTAGTGTAATTAGTAGCTATTTGGAGACATAATTGTGTATGTATAACTTAGATTTATACGGCCAAGTTTGCATCAATAATATGTTCATATGTAACACAAGCCACCCAGAACCCACTGTGACTCTACTATATGATTTATCACTGGAGAGCACAGCTTTAAAACAACTTTCTTCTTTTTTAATGGCGATGTAAATGATGAGAGAGTGTCAGGTATGTATTTTTGAGTCAGTAGAGTCAGCGACTGACCGTCACTGGAACGCCTCGGAGCAATTGTTAATGTTCTCTGTGGTCCTTTTTAATGGTTCCCAAATGGGTCATAGTATCGAATTTGAAGTCTGTTCCAGTGTGATTTTCTATTTTAGCATTTGTAAGAAAATACAAAATACTTGATATTTTTACTTCAGATTTTTAGAATTTATTGCTCTTAGAGTCATATTGATCTCTCCCTTTAAAAAGCAAAATAACATTTTTTTCCTAATGGTGAGTACTAGCAAAAGGATAGTGTGTTAAACCAGGAGTAAATCATAACAGATTAGCATTTGCTCATTTTCCCCACGTGCTAGCAACATTCTCAAAGAATGTATGAAGAAAGTCATGAATGTATTAAACAATACACTGATACTGTTTGTATCCATCTAAATGTTTCCTGCTGGTTGAAATAATAGCAGACCATGCACAAGATGGATATTGGAGCTAATATGGCTAAAATAAAAAGAAAACGTTTTACCAAAGATAAAGAACTGATACCACAATGTCTGCATCTTCTCTTTCATTTCAGTGCATAAATTTAGCAAATTGAATGTGCCAGAAACTGAGACCTTCTAATGTAACTGTATGCTACCGAGCGCCTCTGTGAAGTCTTTTACGTGCATTTGTATGGGAGATGTAAAATCACAGAAAATATCAACAACCTGTTGTGAATGCCCCACCAGATGGCAAGAAACGCAAAGTGTGGCTTTCCCTTATAATGATTTTTTCTTATCTTGATGTCATACGTGCTTTACCACTCAGTGATGTTGAAGCTCCCAAAGAAGTCGATAACGTTAAACTGTTGTACCACTGGCAGGTGTTACTAGCTAGCATGTGAATTTAAGACGTACTGGGTTTTACTGTAGATGTTGTCATTTTGCAATATCTCCTGACACGTCAAAAATCAGCCCGTTTATCTTACATACTGATGAGTGAAAAAGCGATTTTCAGCTTTTAAAATGGCATTTTCAAAAGTGGGTACAGAAAGATCCTCGCTGTTTTTTCTCTTAACTTATGTCTAATGGCTGTGTACATTCCTTTGTCTCACTGTTCCCAATCTTCCATGATTTGACTGTACGCTTTGTGAAGAAAATAGAGACATACAAATAGTGACATGGGGTCGCTAAAAAAAAAAGCTCCTGCAGTGCATCCGAAGTACAGCCACTTCATCCAGTCGGTCTGTCCTGTAAATAAATTAAAGGTATATTATTTTTATACAAGAGGAATGTTGTCTGGTGATTTCCTGAGTACAGTGACACGAACAGATTCATGTTCTTTTTCCTATAGAGGCTGTAACTAAGATCCTGTGTAATCTTAGCAAGTCAGACTGAAGACATAAACGAAAACTCCCTGCTTTGCTGCAGCCATTTTTCTGCCTTTCAGATGGCTTTTGTGTAAAGGAGCAAACTTGCCCCCTTCAAAATAGCAGGAAGATTGCTAGGTGTGAAGATGTCTGCAATGTACATACACTGACTCCCTATAGACCGGCGTTGCCTTCTGCCTATCAGGTCAGTACACCCTGCTGAGGCGAGTTTCGTGTCCCTATCAACATACAGCTTGAATGTCTCACCTCTAACAGCCTCCTGAAAGGAACATTAATACACCTCAGCTCTATATTTTTCTGCCTTTCCTAGCCTGCACAAATTAAAACCTTTTCTTAGAAGCTCTGTAGAGGATGTAAAACGAAACATCAAAAGGGAGATCAAGCACATTTGTTTTCTGCCTATTAACTGCATTCAGCTGGCTTAGGTAACAAGGTTTGAAATGAGAAGGATCCTGACTTACGAAGTCAACCACTTTGTTATACATTACAGCCACCAAATGTTTCATGTTCTAGAAAATGTTTGCACCTCTTCTTTTTCCTGCCCTCAGATATATATAGTACATTTATACATTTTTGAGTGTCATTCGTCTCTGTGAATTGTTATTTATGTACAGCAGTGGGAAACAGAACTGCATCCTCAGCGTTCTACAAAGGCACACTAATTTTATGCTGGAAGGAGCATTATTAATTCTACAGCCCCAGGAGACAGAGAATAATGTGTAGGCTCTGTTGGTTATTTAGCTTTTGTTTCAGCAATTAAAGGGTTGTGAAACAGCTGGAAAATGCAATGTCTGGAGCTTGCCTGCGCTGAGGTAATGGCATGGGCTGACAGGTGTTCTCACTTATGGTGCACAGTTCTGTTGATTGCATTTAAAATCTGTGGTAAGGCAATGGGGCAGGTTCACGTTTATGGCCTTCCAGAGTAAATCTAATTCTGCCAATGTCACTGCTAAAGCTTCTTCATCTCTGACTTCGTGGGTTTTTCTTGTGATTGTTCTGGCCATTCACTTGGCACCAATGCAGGAATGTTTGCAAGGCTTTTTACCTTGCTAATATTCTGGGAAAGAGGAATGCACTTGGAGTTGTTTAAATGAGTTGCTGAAATGAGATGCTTTAGTGCCCTCTCTTAGGGTTGTCCTTGGTAAGGCTGAGAAAAAGAAGTAAGTCCCCATCCACAAGTCTTTGTTCTTCCTATCTAATTTCTTGTCCCAGCAGAAATCATGACAAATACCTAATGTTTGCAGTGTTACCTCACTGTTACCCTCCCTGTTACAGAAATCGTTCATGTTAACTTCCCACCAGTAGGGATGGTCTTAATTTCTTATGGGCTACACGATGCTCGTGGTCATCTCTGTGTAAGCACTGCTCTGAGAGGTGGTCTCCTGCAGCAGAATGCTGGAAGCAAACTCCAAATCAGCATCCCATCAGATCTGGAATACTTTCCTTGTAGCTCGTCTGATGAGCAGGGCATTACCCCCATGTGTATCATTTCCATCCAGCATATCCCTTTTTATTTTTGTCATTTTTCTGAACGGTGTCTCTGCTGGTTATTGATCGCACCAGGAGAAGCCTGTGGTGTGGGCAGGCTGCTGCTTGCTCTCTTTCCTGATTCACTCCATGATGAGGCTGCAGTCCCCTCTGAGCGTTTTTCTTTTCATTAATGGCAAGCTGAAAGGCCCTCGGTTCTTATGGAAAGAGCTGTAACAGAGATTAAATAAAGGTGCTCTGGAAAATGCTTCCCTGCCCCAATCTTCCCCCTCACAAGATAAATGTGATTAATTAAAAAAAAAAAAAATTCACAATTTTCAGTTAAAAAAAAAAAAAAGAAAAAAAGTAAAGCACCATCAGTTAAAAAAAACAAAGGGGGCAAAATCACCACATGTCCAGTTGCTCTAAGATTTGCATTAATAGATGTAAGCAAAACAAATGGTGATTGTCAAAGGCTGGAGGAAGATCACCTCATTAATATCTCCCCACACACACAAATGTCAGATAATCATTCCCCATTTCCTTCACAAATCTCATTATGGTGAAACAGCGGTTTGTCACCATTTCCAGGCACGCTTTGTGGTGTTGTGCCTTGGTGCTGAAGCTCCTCAGAAGGCAAAGTGTTCCACCCATCATGATGCTTTCAGCAGCGTGTAACTTCAGTTAGCTCCAAGGCGGTGTGTTAGCACGGTCTGCAAAGGTTTCCTGTGAAAAGAAAATGCTGAGGTGTGTGGGAGCAGCAGGAGTGAGTCACTGATAGGATCACATCCTATTCCTGAGGTTTTACTCCTTGTATGGAGAATCCAGGAGTCTGTTTCTGTGGCAGATAATGTTGTCCCTTGTTTCTCTTGTGTTCCCTCTCAATAATTTAAAAACCCATGTTCTTGGAGTGCTTGTCTATAGGTTCACTGGATGCTCCAGTATGAGATGAAGATTTTTAAGTTTCAGCAGTACTCACATTTGTGCCACTCTCCCTACCATATACACAGACTCTCCACACCCCTTTCCTCATGAGGGCTGTTGCAGACCAACCATCACGCTGAATGCTGTAATTAATTCACAGAAGCTACAGGTTCTGGTGTGCCATTGCAGAAGCTAACAGAAACCAGGAATGCTTCGGTGCTACTCTTGTCCCTATGGAAAAAATAACTGCCCGTTCTTTTGTGGAGCAAGTAGAAAGCGAGTGATTAAAATCACTCTGTTATGTAGACATTAGAACTGAGAAACTGATGCAGGTGGCAGAAGCAGCCCAGTTCTGTGAGCATTTCCCTGCTGTCTTCCCATGGATGACCAGAGATCCTGCTCTGCAAGGCAGGCTGGCCTCCCTGCAGCACACACTGCAGTGTGGGAAGCACGCAAAGCTATCAGGTCATCCTGGTGCCGTGCCAGTGCCATGGTTCTGTATGGGCAATCTGACAGTGCTAGGCAGAGCCTTCTGGATTGGATCCAGCCATTGCTTTATCACTGTGTACCAGATATATCTGATAGTCTGATACCTTACATTTGTTTTGTGAGCAACAACTTCTTGCCTGCCCACTTAGACATCAGGAACATGCAAGGAAAAGCAGACTGCTGTGTGCTTCTGCTGCTTGATCTAGGCTGCTCTCACCTCTGGGCTCTTCTCACTTGGTAGGGAACAGACCGTGGGCTGAATGAATGCTCCCACCTTGCACACACACACACCCCACACCTGGATGTGTAGATGTTAAACACCTATAAACATGAAAATTCTGTCTATGCCACATAGCTCATAGTTTGTTGTTTCTGTTGAAAAAAGTGTATGATCAACATTACAAGTGTGGGTGATTACTCGAGACGCCAGCTCCAAGGCTGCACTTTGCTGCTGTAATACAGGCGTGTACTTCTAATCACAGTGTTGTCTGATCTTTGATCAATCAGATCTCTACAGCCACTTAAGTGATAAATACTCTTTTAAATGCCACGCTGACATCAGTATGCAATAAAAAACCAAGATCTCATTTTCTTCTGTTAACTGTGTGCCTCCTGCCTGAGCTACCTTTTCCATGAGAGAAGAGAGGATCTCTGTCTTGACAAATCCTCGGTCATTGTGAAGTTTCCTGCTTAAGAACATGCTGCTGCAATCAGTATCTTTCTATACTGCATCAACGTGTATGAAAGCACAGAGTTGGTACTGTTAACCAGGATCAAATCAGTAATTAAAAAGGAAGCAATTTTACGCATACGTATATGTAATATAAAAAAAAACCAAACTATGTAACGAATCTAGAAATAAAGCTAAGAAAGCAGTGCTGCTTGTGGCGTCAGCTTTCACATAACCTGATTAACAGAAACCAGGCAGCAATTAAACGGTGATCAAATTTGTCTTTATTGAGTCATTTTATATAACGTCTGTAAGGAAACTGCCTGGAGATATGAGGGCAGAGTATTTTATCCCACAGTATCATGAAACAAAACTAACTGCAAGAAGTGACAGGCATTTACCACAGGAGCATTGATGTACACAGCAGAGGGAGATATTTCTAACACGAGCCCTTAAAAAAGGGTACTGTCATTTTGTTTAACCAAAATTCGTATTTAACAACAAACAATATGGTTTTCTGCAAAACAAATCTCATGCAGCCACATGCATCCCCCCGCTACTTCAGTACGTCCTGTTTGGGCACCTTCAAGTTTTTCCAACGTCTTAAAATTACTCTGTATTTTTCACTTTCAGTCTTGTTAGATACTTTTTTTAAGACTACCCGCATCACTACAGCAGTTCCTGTTTCTTTATCTTCACCTACTAAGAGATCCAGCGTGTCACCAATTTTCACCTGGAAATAGAAAGAGAGGATGAGCAATTGTAAGCATTCTCTGGAGAAAACAAATTCCCACAGTCGGGGCCACATTAATGGTGCTCCTTTCGAGCCATCTGTTCTCCTGAATCTCTGGGGGGAGGAAGTGGGAAGGCTACACCAGACCCACTACAGAGCCGTCCTTCCACTGTGAGCTTTTAGGAGAGCCCTGGCAATAAGCAACAAATGTCTCCTCATGACCTTCTCTGCCAGGAGTTTTGCCCTTACTGAATTACAGCCAATGCCTAACTCTGGAAAAGCTATCATACAGGTTTATTACCAAATAGGGTTTGCTGCCAATCTTCTTCTATCAATACAGACACAAAGCAGCCAAATGCAAAATTCTCCTCCTTCCTTTAGAACGCCTTAAACTGTTGTAAAGAACAGCATGGGTCAACAGTTTGTGCCCCCTTGCAAAATCCACAACAGCAGTATGCCTTTAAAAATGAGCCCTAACTTGAGGGGAATGGGAACTAAAACTTCTTCCTGCCTTTTCACCACAGTAATGCCACCTGATCGGAACGTAGAGGTATGCTGGTCACCATTTGGGTGAGCTCTGTTGTGAAAGAACATGGCCAGCTGAGCCTGCAAC